ATGGATTTTGTTACCCCAGTGTTTTCTGTGGTCACTTATGGAGTGAGGGAACTGGACCAGAAGGAGGAGCTCCATATACATTTGTCTCTAACTTCTCAATCTCTCAGACAGTTTTTGAAGCAAAGTCCTGTGTGAGTCTGTATGAAGGTTATGGCTTCCTAATGACCTCCAGAACTGCAATTTTCCATATAGCCTCCCCCTTGCTTCCTTTTCTGTGGTGTTATTTCAGAGCAATAACTGATTGCTAGCATGCAATTAAGTAAGGACAGAATAAAAAATTTAGCCCTCTCTGTAGCGTTTCTGACACTTCAGAGCCACTAGATTTCTTTCTTGCCTTAATCTAGGCAGTGGGATCACGGTTCAGGAACAATTTACTGAAGGATTTGCAACCAGTTGAATGGCATATATGTATAATAAACTACAAGTGCTATGCAGAAATCCCCTACCCTGCAAAGACACCGACATCAGTGTGAGACCTGCAGCCACACAATAAAAAGCAAGGACTGGCTCTAGTACTACATCTTCCAGACACCATGAGGGAAAGGAAAATCTAGTCCCTGAATTAATTCTGAGTTACAGTGGGGATGAGAGTAGGGGAAATAAATGTAACTCAGCACAATGCTTAGCAACTGACACGATAGAAAGTTTAAAGTTCAGCCAGACATCTCACACAGTGCATCACCCCATACTGCATCTCTTCAGACAGCACTGAGCAGCAGTGAGAAATCAGTGTCAACAGCTGAGGATGGAGTGCCCATGGTAGGAGAAATCCTCTTCTCCTGAGGAGTCGGTGATGTAGCACTGTGGACTTGCTGCTGCTCCTATCAGTACAAGAAACTGCTGGGCACAGACAAGCAGAGAGGTCCCCTTGGGATGTGCAGCAGCTGGGCTGCTTCCTGTGGCATGAAGTTGGAGCCTGCGTGGGGTTGCGTATTTACAGGAAAATTAACTCTTGTTTAAGATCCTGGTGCTAGATGGAGGTTTGGTCTGCTCTGGCTGCTTGTGCCAGCAGTCAGGGTGCAAATGAGGAGGGAAGTGCTCCAGAAGGGGAAAAACCAGTGGGTTTCGATTACAGCCTGAATCAGAAGAGTGCTGTTTTCAACAAGTAGCTGGTAGGAAGTCCAGGACCTGTGGTTTGTACAGGCTCTCCAAAGTCAGCAAACCTCAAGGTTTGTCCCTTTACCTAGGCACAGGGTGAGATGTCCTGCAGCTGAAATTTCCACGCTAAGTGGAGGGAATGGGGACCACAGCCTGCAGTGTGTTTGTGGTGAAGCAAGTGCTGAAATAAAGTTATATTTTGCAGGAATTTAAGCACAACAGGTTGCTGTGTCAGTGAGCTGGGGACTCAAGGGACCCTTTTGAAGAGAAGAAAGGGTTCATAACACCTGGCCCCTCTTCACATCAGGGGTGATGCTCTTGGTAGTGAGATTTCCCTAAGGAGTGTCTGTAGCTCAAGCACTGCTCACTAAGAAATCTCACTACCAAGAGCATCATCCACAATCTTCCTGTACCAACTACCTTACCTTTGAGGAGAAGAAATTGTATTTACCACCTATATTATAGCACAGAGCATTGCTTGATCACCACGGGGGAGAGTAAACGGGGTTTGTTTCACTGCTCTCTTTATTCAGCTGTATTTTCTCCACCTCTCACCACAGCTGGGATCTCTCCTCTGCTATAATATCTTACAAGACACCTACAAGCCCGGAGCGTGAGGCAGAGGATTTCCACTGTGGGGCTTGGGGTCCTCCCAAGCACGTAGCTGAATGGCGTAAAAACCCCACCCACGAGCACTGCTTTAACAGCCTGGGGCTCTGCGAAGGCTGGGGTGCCCCAGCAATACCCGCTGGAGCCATAGCAGTGTGGGGTAGATGATACCCTGCAAGCAGCCCAGCCTCTCACCAGCACGATGGTATCCCATTGCTTCTCCCAGGGAAAGGGGCTGCTCTCAGGGTGAGTTATGGTTGCTAGCAGTGTCATAGTGTGAGAACAACTGGATCATCTAGCCCCTAGCAGGGTCAGACTGGGAAAGTGTTTTACTGTGTTATATAATTTGTAATTAACAACAAAAAATAACTGTCCTACAAAGTGTTAACATGACTCAACCCCATGAAAGAAAAGTGACACCCTCCTCATTTGCCCAAGGGTTTGTATCACATTGAAGGTGCTTTTTCCTGTTGAAATGCTGCAGGGATGTTTTGAACCCTGTTTAAACTACTGTTTTTTCTCTGCTTTGCTAGATGCAATCTCTTCTCCTGAAGAGCGTGGTCTCTGCTAGTGGCCTTAAACAAAAGCAGCACCGGAGCAGAGAAAGGGAGGTGCAGAGGGGAAGGGGACCTGTCAAACCCTGTGAGGAGGCAGCAGCATTGAGTGAAGAGGTGATCCCCCATCCTCTCTTGCCCTCTAACAGCTGGGATGTAGGGCTGGGAGATGAGCCCCCTCCTTCCCCCAGGACTGGTCCCCTTTGGGGGTCTGTCTGCCCAGGATCCACCCGAGTCAGGTGGAGAGGGACTGCAAGGCAGAGCCCCTGCCAGCAACAGCAGCTGCGCCTCTCTGCCTGTGGTTCCCTATCCCCATCCCAAATACTTGCTTTCCATGGGCATTGGAGCTGCACAAAGGGAAGCATGTAAGAGTTTCGGGGCTGAGGGCAGCCTTGTGTTTGAGCACACAGGGAATTACCCCAGGTACTGGGAGGCTTTGCAATGAGGTTGGGCAAGATGTCGCTGTGCTTCATCAGCTCCTGCTGAGCCTAGAGCTGAAACGCAAAACAGAAGGTGATGCACAGTAGATGACAGGTTGCCTTAGAGCCTCTGTTAAAACCAAGCTCTACATCCAAAGCAAGGGACATCTGAGTTTAGCTTTTGCACTGACGTTATATAGAATATTTGTAACGCTCAAAGCAAGCTCCTGCAGGTGTTGCATAGGAAATACAAAGCAACCACAGGTTCTGCGTGAGTAAAAAATTGCAACAGATATGGAGATGGCTCCTATCCTCCCTCCCACTGCCCTGTTGGCTGCAGAGGGACAGTCCCCACACCTCATCTGCTAGGATATCCCCCAGCCACTGGGGCTACCTGCTTGTCTGGACACCTCCACCAGTAAATGCTATGCTAGCCTAGACCTCAGGTATTCATGGGCAAAAGTTTAAAATATGTTGACATTGCTGTTAGTATGTTTTATTACAAGTAGATCAATTTAGAGCTGGTTTAATAGACAATCATATTGGTTTAGCTGAAGTGTCATTCATCCTTCACTCATTTTTAGAGCTGAATTTAATCAAATCTTCAGAATTGGGACTGGGTTCTGCAAAGTGCCTCAAAGATGGGGAGTGGAGGGATCATGCTGTAATTCTAACTTTCTTAATCTCTTCAGAAAGTGAACGTGTGATAAGATAAGTGAATGAGGCTGGGCTCCCCTGCAGCCCCTCCTGGTCCTGCAGGATCCCAGTGGTTTCCAGGGCACCTCTGACCACCCTCATTAACCTCCCAGACATCCTCTGGTGCAAGTTGGGACTAAACCCCGCAGTTTTCCAACAAAACTTGTAATTCCCAAAGAACTTCAATGGATTTCAGATTCCAGACTCCCTTGGATAATCCTTGTCTAAAATCACAGTATTTTAACAGTTCAAGGCAAGTACATGAAGATGAATTTATTCAGTCTTCATTCATGCAGTAATTAACTACTCAGTTCTACAAAGAGTTTTAACAACCTTTGAATGCAACTTGATGTCAAAGTTAAAAAATAAATTTTTCCATTCCCTTAGTATTTTTATGCCCTTAAAACCCACACAGATACGGCAGATTCACAGAAGTGCTGTGCAGATATGGAGCAATATTATAGTTTACACCAAAGCAATCCAAAAGAAGAAGAATTACAGCATAATAAGGCCAGAGACACAGATGTATAGACAGAATAAGATTTATTTATTTGTTGTTCAACCAACAAGTTGGGTGAAACAGCAAGCAAATGTTTCTGTCCACAAGCCCTAAACGAAATCAGAAGGAGCAAACTTAAAGCTTTGCAAGTTCAGATCATATTATTTCTAAGGTTTGCTGAATCAATGTGACAATTTGACAGGGAAGCATAGAGTAAAAGGAGACATTAGCAAGAAGCCTGAGATGAGAAAAGGGTAGTTATTCTCTGCAGAGTATTGATGGTTCATCCCAGATCAGAGGGAAACAAGAATATACCCTAAAACTAATATCTCTGCTGAGTTCCTGATTTTTAGTACTCTGCAGAGCTATGAATTTTCATCCCCAGGTTCATCTTTTGAAGGTGTTTCTCAGGTTTCCCTTGAGGATGAGGGCTGGAGCAGTATCAGCTGTTTTGTGAGGAATATGCCCTTTGGAACCCCAAATTTTCCTAATTTCTGTATGAAAGACATGCCTGCTGTGGAGAGCTGTCTGTTTTTGCCTGTGTGCTTGCTGCAGAGCCCTCGTGCCCCAGCTGCAGGCACAGGACCTGGAAGCCAGCAGGTCTCTCAGCCCTGGGGGGATGCTGGCCCCAGGCTGCAAGCCTGGCTGGGATTCAGGGGCGCCCATCCAGGCCTGGCCAGTGGGAAGCACCTGACACGGGGGCTGCAGAAAGCTGCATGTCACAAAGCAGCAGGGCAGAGCCAGAAAGCCTTGCAGGTCCAAAATGCACTGGGACTGGAAAGCAGGAGAAGAGGAGGAGGGAGGAAGGCATGCTCCTCGTTCCTAGCTTTGGAGTAACTGGAAATAAGCACACTGTGCGAGTACCCTGGCTGCATGGGGATGGGCCCTCCCCCCAAGAGCTTTTCAACTCCACCAGACAGACAAGTAGAAGGACACATGCCAGCAAGGGGAGTTTGACTGGCTTGAAAATTTGTGGCTGTGATTTGGACCCTTGTCATGCCCACATACTGTGTCACTGCAAGAGGAATTCAGTTACCATGGGTTACCCTATCAGTACGAGGACCAAGTGCCTCCCCTCCCAACAGCTCTATAAAAAGAGTCTCTCCAAGATACCCCAGCGGCTTCTGCCTACCAGCGCAGACCAGGAGAAACTTGGCTGTGAGGAGAGAGGGAGGGCTGCCAGAGGAGGTGTCAGCATGCCGTCTGCTTTCCAGTTTCAATGCCACTTCATTCTCATCTTCCTGGCAGCCTCCAAGGGGGAAACCAGATACCTAGAGGTGAGCAATAGAGCTGATGACTAAAGTGCCTTGCTGTGCTTTTAGCTGCGGTCTTCTAACTTGTACTCCCAGCTTTCAAGCATCATGATTTTTCCTCTCTCCCCTCCTATTCACACTCCTTCTACATTAAACCTACACCTGGGTAACATCAATCAACAGTCCTGTTCCACACCCCCTCCTGTTTTTATCCTCCCTTTTCTCAAACTTGCATTTTTGCTGGGGATTTAAGAGACTCACTGCGCACTGAGCCACTAGGCTTACCTCTTAGGTTTGTTCCTCTCTACTGCAGGTTTTCAGCTTTCTGACTGAGCTCTTCCACAGCTGCACTGTTTCTGAAGGAGGGATTTAATCTGCTGGTGCCTGTTCTTGAGAGGTGCAGGGAGGGGGCTGCATTTCACTTTGCCCCAGCCTCTTCTTGTCCTCTTTCCTTCACCAGGTGAGGGATGCTGGTGAAGATGAGCCCTTTCTACTCCTCAGCGAAGATTTGAAGCGAGAGCTGTCTGCAGGGCAGATCTACCGACGGTCACTCCGTGAGTTTCTTTGGTGCTCTTCTGGGAACCATCAGTGGGTGGGAGAGTACTGGGGGGAGCTCGGAGCTTGGGGAGGGGAAAGGGGATATTTGTGAGTGACAGAGATGCAGGCATTTTTTGCAAGGGGTGGGAGAAGAAAGACAAAAAGTTAAAATCTCAGAAAAACTGTGCTTGAGGGCTCCGAAAAGAGGTTGGGGCTCAGAGTTGAGGGTGCCTAATAATAGGAGGAGGATGGGGACTGTCCACCCATGTCCCTGGGCAGGATCACGTGTCCAGGGGATGGTGCAGGTGGAAGAGTTGTGATTAGAGAGAAATTTGAAGGACCAGGGTGTTTGTGCACTTGTGCACATACACACACACACACACAGAGAGTTTTCTGCTCAGAGATCCTTCTACATATCATTCCCCGACACCCACCCATCACACACTTGTGCTTACACCTGTGAGTTGCTATTCATCCTCTGATGCTCAGCAGTTTCCTAATTGCTTCAGCTGGGTCTCCCTCTCATCACCAGCCGAGTCTCAGTGTGGGGGTCTCTCCCCGTTCCCCCCCTTCTATGCACCACAGGAGCTGGTGCAGGGTCTCCCTCTCCAGCAGGCTGAGGCAACAGCCCCATCTCTTTTTCTCCAGGGTGCATTGACATGCTGAGTATAGAGGGGCAGTTCACCTTCACTGCAGACCAACCGCAGCTGCACTGCGCGACCTTCTTCATTGGGGAGCCTGAGGAGCTCATCACAATAGACTATGACTTCGTAAACATTGACTGCCAAGGGGGCGATTTCCTGAAGGTAAGAAGCTAGCAGGTCCTGCTGCACTTCCCCTTCCTTGCTCTCATCTGACATGTGAGACATTTGCTACATGTGTGCATGAGTGTGTGTGTTTGTGTGTGCAAAACAGGCTTTCTAAAAGCAGCCATCTCTGGGATGGCTGTTCCTCCTTCCTGTGACAGTTTGGGTACGTCCCCCCTGCCACCAGCACCCTCCTGAAGCAAAGTCAGACTCAGGCTGAGGATCACTTTCCAACTTGCAACATTGGCTCTCCTGGACTTTTCCAGGAGCACCTTTACTGAGTGTCCATACATGGGGGACTGACTAAAAAGTTTGGTCAGTACAAACCGAGCCCCTCAGCCCTGTTAGGAGGGTTTTCTCATTGCATCATGAATCACACAAGCCCTGCAGATAATGATACAGCTCTTTAAACAGCAGTTACTTCTCCAGGACCTCCACTTGCAAGTCACTTAGCATCAGCTTATTAATGAGTGGATTGTTGCAGGCTTTCTTTCAAATGACCCCACTAGACTTTTTCAGGACATTGACTCTGAACAGGAAGAGGTTTGTGACTCAGAGCCATTTGTATTCCAGTATTAACAAACTTTACCAGCGCATTTGATGTTGACCAAGATCTGAACTCGGCTGAGTAGAGAAAGAGAAGTTTGACGGCCCCTGGCTCTCCCCCTCACCTTGCGCTCTGCCTTTTGCGCTGCAGTGGCCATGCACAGCATGGACCCCATCCCACCCAGTGGGAGGAGGAGGAAAGCTTCCCTTCAGCCCTTTCCTTGTCTCCGTCTCTTAGAGATGCTATCTCCCTGCTCGCTTCACCCTGGGGAATCCTGTCCCTCCATCCTGTACCGCTGGCCAGGATTTCTCCCTACAGTGCTGCAGAGAGGCCGATTTCAGCCTCTTGTGGATCCAAGGATTTTTGTACCTAGGCTTACACCCACTTATGGAGGCTAGAAAAATGCCCAGAGATCTTTGAGCCTTTGTAGAGGTTTCCTTCCTTTGATCATGGTGTTGCCAGTTTCTAAATAGTACTATTGTATTTATAAAAGCAGGTTTTCCCTGGTGTCCTTTGAGCACCCACATCTCATTACATCAGAAAATTTACAGTTATGACAAATCCAGAGACTGATCCTGCAGCTTTTCCATGAGGAAGTCCCACAAATACTCACATTAGGATTACTCACTAAAGTTATGGCCGGATCTAGTCCTTGGATTTTTGAAGTATTGAGTGGACCGTACAAGGAATTACTGGGTGAGAGTGTCTAGGAGGGAATTGAAACAGCAAGACAGGTAACTGTGCAGCTATACTAGAGTTAATGCAGATTTCTACTTTTGACACATTTCCTTGAAGACAGTGAGGGCAAATTGTCGCTATTTTTGTTGGGAAGGAAAGATTTGTAGAGGTTGCTGCTTAAGGTCCAGCCAAGTAAGCAGCGTTTGCTCTGCTTTCTAGAGGTTAGGATGAGCTGAAAGTACAGATGCAAGAGAGAGCAATACCTCTGCCAATAACTTCTCCCCAAAGCTATATCATATTCCAATACCTCTGTAAGGTCTCCGGGCCCACTAGCAACAAGCTGTAAAACATGGATGGTAGAAAATTACAGGGCAGATCAATGGACTTAATGCCCAGAGTCTGAGAGGGTGATTTACGTTTCATGTAGCTTCCAAATGAAAGTGGTAAAAAACTCCTCTTAGTAACAATGAAATTGGAAAAAAATTGATGCAAATGTCATGATGCTGGAGCAAAAAGATCTGCTTTCCTCAAATAAAAGCTCACCAAAATTGTCATCTGAAGGACATAAAGACAACATTAAAAATTATATATATCCCTTTCCTAGATATGGATTCAAGCTTGAATAATTAGTTAAATGCTAGGAAATCAATAAATGCAAAGAATTTTTTTTTTAATTAGTGGCTTTGAACATGCCATCTGATGTTAGAATAGACCAGTGTTTGTAATACTTCATGCTTCTGTTACCTGCTAACAGAGTGATAAGCAAAAGTCTTGTTTACAATTATTGAACCTCTGTAGGTATTTGATGGTTGGATACTCAAAGGAGAGAAATTTCCCAGTTCCTTGGACCATCCCCTCCCCACTTCCCAAAGATATGTAGACTTTTGTGAAAGTGGCAATATTCGGAGGAGCATCAGCTCATCGCAGAACGTGGCAATGATGTTCTTCAGGATTCACCAGCCAGGCAACGGATTTATTGTCACAGTCAAGAAAAACACCAACCTTTTTCGTAAGTCTGCATTTTATAGTATCAAGTGGGCTTGCATTTGGGGCAGGAAGCAAAATGCGGCTTTGCATTGACTTCTCTTGCTGACATTATCTGCCCTGACACAGCTACAGTAACACCATTGGAGCCATGCACACCTGCACATCTGAAGATTTGACTCAGGCTGAGTGTGTGTCTCAAGAAAAAAGAGTAAGCGAGGTGTAAGAGATAACTTAGGCATTTCTTCCATACTCAGGACCAGAAGGCTCTTTCTTTCAAAGAAGAGCTCTTCTAATCTAATATTGTCATGTCCCAAGACATTTGGCTAGAACAAATAGTATTAATTTAGAGAGTTTAATCTCAGCAATTTCTAGATCTGGGTGAACAATGTGGGAAAAATTACTTGAAAAAATTCAACAGCAGAAACAGTGTATTGAATAGTTATGTGATAGTTATAAGTGATAGATGATCCCAACGAGCTATTTGCAAGTTATTTGCCTAAGCCTGTGAACTGGCAAGGCACAAATAATTGTCACTTGTATCATTTTTCCAAGAGAGTACAGGACGTTTAACAATTATTGTTCAAGCCAGTCTGCCTCACCATGCAAAGGATGAAGATGACAGCACATCTGCCCTGTCTTTACTCTGAGTTCAGAGACAAGCCTGCAAGCTGGGTCTCCACAATGGTGTGGCTTCATACCAAGTCTGCCTGGAGGATCCCTTGGGTTGCAGATGCAGATGATGAGCTACTGCTTTGCCTGAACTGTTAAATATGAGCTTTGAGATAAAATCAGCATGTACCCACGCTAGTTTCAATGGGATGTTTTGTAGGGTAAGGAACTCCAGTTAAGAGGAGCAGAATAGGACTTAGGGTTTTGCTGACAATATCAGACAACAGTGAGTCAAAGGAAAACAAAAGCCCTGCACCCATAGTTAGCCTCCTTCAAACTGGCAAACAGCACAAGCCCTTGACAACACGAGCTCCTGATGTATGGATTTGGAGTGTGAGCTCTCTCATTGACTGCTTCACCCTCAAGTTCTGCCAGATCTCATGCTACATGGGCAGGGAATTTTTAGGGAACAAATGCTATGCATGAAGCCCAGAAAATACCACATGCATATTTTTCAGCATTTGGTTGTAACTCTCAGTAACTAAACCATCTGTTCTTTATTAGTATTGAAAGTACACAATTTTGCTACGTGCAGAGTGATAACTGCACAAGTAACTCTTGTACATTCTCCTGTGCCCCAGCTTGCAATGTCATCTCTCAAACTCCCTCGGGAAGGTTTACCATGGTCATTCCTCATCAGCACAGAAACTGCAGCTTCTCCATAATCTACCCTGTGGTAATAAAAATATCTGATCTTATCCTGGGACATTTAAATGGCCTATTTTTAAAGGTGAGTTGTTTGTTTCCTCAGCAATTACTACCATGTGCAGTGTTCCTGGGCATGGGAGAGGGAAAGGGGTGAAAGAGGGACAACCTCTGGCACTGGCTGCTAAGGCACGTGTGTGCTGGACCATGTGTGCACACACTGAATGCTCTGGTTTCCCCCCAGAGATGAAAGCTGTCTGTCTCTGTCGCTATTGTCTCTGTTGCACAGGCAATCCAACTACGCAAACTACCATTAATGCATGTAAATATTGCTTGCCATAACAAAGGGTAAGAATTTCATTAGAAAGAAAAGAATGCTTTCCTGGAGAGCTGTTTGTCTGTATTTAAACTAATGAAAGCAGCAACCACTCTGAACAGTGAAAGGAGACACAGGTTAGGTAGGGAGGTACTAGCATGGAGAAAATACAAACATGCTCACAACTGAGTCACTGCTCGACATGCTGAGCATCCTCTGCTCCATCTGCTCTGATGCACAGCACAGAGCTTAGGTTTGGCCACAGCATTTGGTGCTTGGTGACAATCAGACAGGAGAGGACAAGAGCTGCTGGTGGTATCCTGTGCCTGGGAGGCCTCAGAAGGTGCAAATTCCAAAATATCCAGAAGGATAGGAGCAAGAAAGTTTGTTTTCTGCTGCCAGTGAGATTGGCATGCTAGGTCCTTCATAAGGATTGCCAGTGTCTGAGCAAACCAGGCTTTGAGAGATGGGCGAGTTGACTTATTCAGCAGTGGGCAGAAAAAGGACAACAGCAGGAGGACGATAAAGAAATTAGTGCTTAAATAGCACCATATGGGTGACAGCCCATAGGTACACAAGGTGTCCGTGCAAGAAGTTTTTGGCAAACAGCATTAATTTTCAGGAAAAGAACACTTGTGGGTCTAATAAACAGCGAGCCCTTGTCATAGAAAACAACATTTTTTGTTTAATTCCTACTTTAATTAAACTTTGCCAGAATAGCACATTTTAGGAACATATATTGTTTAGGAGTAAGTATGGTATAGTGGAACTTAAGCTCCTCCCTGGCAGCTGAGTGTGGGCACATGTGCAGCCCGTACCTGTATTAATTTGATTACATGTCTAAGCAGATTGCTTATCTGCACTAAAAGCAGTTGAATCAACAACTTAACTACTTGTCAGTAATTTTCAGAGCCTACTTCAGTCTTTGGAATCCATTTAGGAAATTAACTAATGTCAACTCGAAGTAGTGCTTCTCAGGATGAGAACAGCCTGGTTTCAGGCAGGTTTGAGCACAAACGACTTCTAAAAAATATTGTTGGCTGCAATCATGCCTAGAGAACTGTTATCTTTTGAAGATAATTAATAAATAACTTTTGATCTCTGCCTTTTTAGAAACCATCAGCTGGCTGTGCAGGAGTGGGAGATTTCATAGAGCTGCTAGGAGGAACTGGCTTAGACCCATCCAAGATGTTCCCATTAGCTGATCTCTGTCACTCTTTTCACGGGTCTGGTAAGAGCTCCTTCTTCCACTTATCTCCACGTGATGAAATAATTAATCAGAAGGTTAATAATTAACCAGAATTAACCAGTGTGCCCAGGTGGCCAAGAAGGCCAACAGCATCTTGGCTTGTATCAGAAATAGTGTGTCCGGCAGTACCAGGGAAGTGATCATGCCCCTGTACTTGGCACTGGTGAGGTCACACCTCAAATACTGTGTGCGGTTTTGGGCCCCTGCCTACCAGGAGGACATTGAGGTGCTGGAGCGTGTCCAGAGAAGGGCAACGAAGCTCGTGAAGGGTCTGGAGAACAGGTCTTACGAGGAGCAGCTGAGGGAACTGGGGTTGTTTAGTCTTGAGAAGAGGAGGCTGAGGGGAGACCTCATCGCTCTCTACAACTACCTGAAAGGAGGTTGTAGTGAGGTGGAGGTTGGTCTCTTCTCCCAATTAACTAGTGATAGGGCGAGAGGAAATGGCCTCAAGCTGTGCCAGGGGAGGTTTAGATTGGACATTAGGAAAAACTTCTTTACTGAAAGAGTGGTAGAACGCTGGCTACCAGGCTGCCCAGGGAGATGGTGGAGTCACCATCCCTAGAGGTGTTCAAAAGGCATATAGATGTGGTGCTTACAGACCTGGTTTAGTGGTGGGCTTGGTAGTGTTAGGTTAATGGTTGGACTTGAAGATCTTAAAGGTCTTTTCCAACAAAAATGATTCTATAATTCTATTCTATAAGGTGTCATGCAGAGTCCCCACAAACGTGGATTTCCTGCTAGACTGGTGAACTTCACACGTAGCAGAACATGAGAGCTAAAGCCATTTGAGCCTGTAGCTGGGCTGTGTGATACAGCACAACCATCTTCACTTGCCCCTGCAGTAGTCATTATAACAAGATTATGTTATACATATTTTTAAAATGCTTGTTCCATGACACATATAATTATTAGTGTGTCAACAGATAAATGAGCCTGGAAATTCATAACAAATGAAGGCAGAGTGGTTACATTTTCAGTTAAGGAGTTTTTCCTCACTTAGTGTTTCCAAAGCCTCCTTTTCTGCTGCAGGAGTAACACATACTCCATATGGTGGTGAGTCCATATATTGGGCACTGCCATTTGCGTTTGTCTTGCTGGGATTCTCACATACCTTTGTTACTGTGAAGAACCTCCTTATGCACAAAATCACTTATCCCCCTAACAGGGAACATTTAAATGTTGTTAATTTTGGATGTCTTCAGGATAGGGTGCCATTACACTTACCCATTTCTTGCGGTATCTAACAGTAGCATACCTTCCCAAGTGCAAACATGCACAGACCTCTGTGTCATGTCTATCTACAAGTACGTGAGACTACAGGAGGATGGAAAGTGAGTTGCATTTGCATGAGTAAAGCTTGTAACACTTTATTAAATACTCAAGCCATTGTAAAGTAAAACTAACTTTACTAAAAGCAAAAAAAAAGTACAAAAGAAGGTACATAGGCAGCGATACCACCACAGGCCAGCCATTACTACACACAAATTTGCTTTGTTTACAGACTTGCATGTATCAGTGCTTTGTAATTCCCAACACTACATGTCTCTTCTCCCGCTCTCCCTCATATAAGTGTATCTTCATATCTCCTCTACATCTCATTTCCCTAACTAGCCCAAATGAAGATTGGCTGTGACAATACCGTGCTGCGAATGGTCTCCAGTGGCAAACACATCAACCGTGTGACATTTGAGTATCATCAACTCGATCTGCAGGAAACAGAAAACAGAAAGGAGAACAGCATTGAGGAATTCTGCTTTCCTAGTATCTGAGAAACCAGGCCAGACATTTTCACATAGCTAATGAAAATAAGGTTCTGGTGAATTAAAAAACCACATATTTTTCCTTTAATCAGCATTATCGAGCCTTTCTATGTTACAAGCATATTTCTTTTTTCATACAAGTCAGTCATTCCCATGAGCAAGCAGGAAAAAGGAACCGATATATTAAGTTTTCTTAGTATCATTATATTTTTAATGCAGTATTTAAGCTCATTTACCACTTCCAAAATCAATAGCAAGAACGGAAGGCTATGTCTCCCATATACATACTATTAGGAAAATAGGCATAAACCCTCTGCGTAGTCTGAGGACATATGAAACCCACAATAAGTATAAACTTCATGCAGCAACTTCATCCTTTTATATCAGATACAAACAAAAAAATTAGATGGTGGAATGCATTTCCAGTTTTGTAAGAGGAAACCCAGCATTATTGTGTGTAAAAACTACTGGTTTGTTTATGACTATAACTGTACTATTTATTTCTAATGACATATTTTTAATAAAAATTTATAGCATGGAAACTTCCTTACACTAATCCAAACATAAATAAATACATTCAAAGAGTTGGCAAAACATTACTATGTTATATTTTTCTGAAGAGCTCTTTTGACATTCTGGTTAAACTTCCTAAGTCTTGTGCAGTTTTCTGGAAATTATACTTTTGAACATATGTTGCTGTAAAACTGTAGACTATTAAAGTAACATTATGGGCAGAAATTTGGTTTGCCAATGTTGGATACAACTTCATGTAGAGTACGTTCCAGCTGTACACTTACTGGCACCTTCCCTGTTTAAGGCTTTTGGTCAGGTGTCCTGCTGACCCATGGAGGCAGGGATATACAAATATACATTCATTTTTTCCAGTCCTTTAGTGAACCAGAAGAGGGGTGTAAGCCTAGAGAGCTCGAGGAAGCACAGCACAGCAGAGCAACAGAATTGTGTCCTAGCTCAGAGGGAGGCACATGGACTGATTCATGTTTTCTGGGAGTGCTACCTGGCAATAACGAGACCAAACTGTTCCTCCTCTGATGTTCAATTAACAGTCAATACTGATTAATCCAGCTGCATGCCTGAGATCTTTAGCATTGATTTCTTGCTCTTAATCTCATAGTCAGTCACCAGAAATCAAGTGACTTAGGTATTCAGCAGCTCTGAAGTTAATCCCCCCCGACTGAAGTAGGTGAAAACAACAGAATGCCTCAGATTCTCCTTCTGTGAGGTTTTGGGAGCTCAGTTTTGGTTACTGACTCATGAACAGAGATGTGATTGGCAATATGGTCAGGCTCGGTTGAGCATGTCCACCCTGCAGGGCTGTGTTTATGGAAAAGGTGGGGATTGTGGGAATGTTCTGCTTTGTTCCAAAAAGAAAAGTCGACAAAACTGCTGCTGGCTACTCCAAGGCATGGAGTAGCCCTGGATTAGGGCTCTGAGTGGAAGGTCCTTGGCTACCACATCCTTGCTTTGGCCCCATGCGACCCACTGTGGGCTTCTTGGGCCCCTGGTGCAGTGCTGGCAGTGTTCACATGGTTGCCAGCACCGGAGACGTTGAATCAGAGCTCAATGAAATAGCTTTTTTCCTGAGGAAATGCAGTGACAGAGGATCTCTGTCCCCCAACATCCCACTCAGCTCATCCCTTCTGGCTGCCTGTCAGTGTCAGGGTGGCCCTAACCATGTCCAGCCCCACCAGCCTTTCCTGGGCACCCTTTGGTGAACCAGGGCACGCTTCTGGGCTGGGCAGTTTGTGAACAATCTCGGGGGGTTCCATATAAGACGGCACCTATCCACACACCTACCTTCAAACTGGGGAGAGGTAGAGGATTTAAAATGCTTGATCAGTAAGAAACACAGTCAGAGTTTAAACATCAACAATGTATTTCAGGTACGACAGCTCAGGACTAGAACACCAGTTAAGATAAACTCACAATCTCTTTCTTGTTTCATAGGGACATTTCCCACATTTCAGCTTTATGTGATACTTTTTTTTCCGTCCTAACATGGCTTAAACACCTCCAAAACACCAAGGCCTTATAGAACAGATACTTAATGTTCAGAGATTTGAGACTTCTCCTTGTGGACTCTGTTACTAAGAAAACTTAATGTTACAGGAGAAGGAGAATGAAAAACAACACTCTGCATAGGACAGCACCATCTATTGCTATTGCTCCGTGCATAATACTCAAGTACATGGCGGTTTTCACAGAACCAGTGATCACTTCACCTACTCCTTTTAATCAACGTAAATTTAGGCATCACGATCAATGACATCACTCCACTTTGTTGGCTGTCTTCGAAAAACCCAGACCCCAGCCAGCTAGGCATTCTTTGATCTGTGCTTTAAGCTCTACCTTATGTGGAAAATCAATAGTCATTTCAATCTGTGTACCTGTATTTATGGAGGCCCTCATCATTTCAGGAGTTTGAGAACTTTGGTCACAAGAAGTCAGCTCATAGATGTCAAATGCAACAACTCCTCCAGGGTTTAGTTCTAGATAATTAAAGAAATAAGTATCTTCGTGAATGAAAAGAAAGGAAACCAAGGCAATAAAAGCACTGCAAGCAGGAAAAAAGAAAAAAAAAAAAAAAAAAAAAAAAAAAGGCAACTAAAAGTTTGTAAAAGGAAAAAAAAAAGAAAGCAGGATAAGAAATATGTGAATAACATGAATATCTGTTGAAAGAAGCAAGAAAAGAACTTATCAATTAATAAGGTTGTAGCCTGGAGGCTTACAAGAGCTGAAAAGCCTCCTAAAAATTAAAAAATAATCAAGATCCTAACAATAAAAATAGAACAAAAGTCTTTGAAGAGGCACTGTGCAGAAATGTTGGCTTTGAGAAGAAATTGTATGTCCAGGATTTAGACACCATGACATTCGGCATTGTAGGCGAAATCACCAAAACTCACAATTAACATTGAAACCCACAAAATTGGCAGGAGACAATGTGAGTGACAGCTTTATTGCAGACTCTGATGTCAGAGAATGAACCACTTTTCTTCATCTTTTTGATTTGGCATCACCACTGACTTTCTCCTAGAGAAGTAATGTAAAAGGTGGCATAATACCACAACAGAACCACAAAGCATAAGAGCATCATGCTAGATTTAGAAAGAAAACCACTGAACTTGAATTGATGGGCCAGCCAACACTCAAGTAACAACTGAAAAATACTTCAGCACCACAAAAACTACGAAGGAACCTAGGGTTAAAAATTGTTGTTTGCAGGGAAAGGGAAAAATCAGCAATTCTTGCTGAAATCTCAACTTTAGAAGAGAGAGGGATACAGAAAATTAATCAAATCCTGTACTTCTGTACTAACATGAAATTCAGGGTGGCTGTTCAGAAAAAAAAGGATGTAGTGAGTTGCCCTGAGCAAGGCTGAATTTCCCACCTTAATTAATAATTAACGATTAAAAGTCTTCTACTTAAAGACCATGTAATGAATCTTCAGCTTAAATGTTATTTCCATCTTTACCAGGTATAAATGAAATAAATTAATAATAATGCAGAAATTTATTGGAGACTGGTAAGTCTTTGTTGTTGAAATTACCCAGAAGAGAAGATGGAAATACTTTGGAGGTAGTGGGAAAAAAGCTACAGCACCTGTCCCTGTAGAAGTGTTAATGTACATCTGAAAGAATCGGTCAGCTGAAATAAAGATTGTCAAGAGTTTTCTGGCAATGGAAAGGGGAACGTTGTTACAGGACCTACCAGCATAGAGCATGTGTCAAGAGTCCAGTAAAATAGGTCTTAATACAGGAATAGATACAGACTTATTCAAACTCTTCGGGATTTTTAAAAGAAAAAAAACCTGTTCAGGAATTAAAGATTATTTTCAATAAGTAAAAGTGCAGTAGGAAAGTTTTATTAAACTTAGAACTGCTGTCTTTGGAGATAAAAACTCAGAAGAACAATTGTAGCTTAGAAAGACTGATGATAGTGAGATGTTACAATGATTTCTTGCTTTGTGCGGTGATCGTCTCTTCCCAAAATTAGATTTTGTTCTTAAAGGAGTGACAAAAAATCACAGACTTCTTGTAAGTAATGTGCAACTCCCTGTAATAATAGACAATATTTTTTTGAGTTAGAGTCATTCTGCTAAACTACTGTTGATTTTTATCTTTCATGACTGACAGTGAAAATAAGTGCTCAGACCAAGACAGGTCTTTCTGAATGGCAGTCTAAATGACTTTTAAAACATCTTCTATATATCTGCTCTGCTAACACTGATTCTGCAAAATTGTGCCCTGATTTCTCTATGACGGAGTTTTGATCAATAGTTAGGAAGGAGTCGTGTGGAGTCTGAATAGTAAGGAAAGCAGATTTGCAGAACACATTAGGTGCTTGATCACATAACCTGCTTTCCACAGAATACCTACTCCTGCAAATTTTAAATACATCTCCAGAGACATCACATTGTACTGCCTTCACACACCAAGTGGATTTTATGCTACCTGCAGGGACCACGTTATTTTGTGCACATAGGGCACCAAAGGCTCTGAACTCTGTAATTCTAGGTGGCTAGATAGGGTCCCTGAATTACAACAAGTGCAACCAAGAAAAAGCAACAGGTAATAGTAGTGGGAAACTCTCTTTTGAGGTGTACGGAGGCACCCATTTGCTGACCCAACCAGCTGTCTAGAGAGGTTTGCTACTTACCAGGGGCTAGGATTAGGGATGTCATAGAAAGCCTACCAAACCTGGTACATCCCACAGACTACTATCCATTGCTGCTGTCTCACATGGGCACCAGTGACGCAGCCAGAAGCAATCATCTAAAGAGCATCAAGAGGGATTACAGAGCCCTAGGAGAGGCAGTGAAGGATTTGGGGACCCAGGTAATCTTTCCATCAATCCTCCCAGTCAAAGGCAAGAGGCTTGAAAGAGCCGACAGAATCAGGAAAATCAAGGAATGGCTGAAGGAGTGGTGCCACAGCCAGGGCTTTGGCTACTTGAACCACGGGACTCACTTTGAGAAACCTAGTCTCCTGGGG